TATATATATATATATATATATAATGAATATGGTGTGCATATAAGGAGTATAGAATGCATATATTGTGCATTTAAGGAGTATAGTATGCATATAGTGAGTATAATGTACATATAATTAGCAAAGTGTGTATATAATGATTATAAAGTGCATATAATGTAAAGTATATTAACACATTTTTTGTTAGTTATTATTTATGTTTTTATTGAAAATGTATTTATTTTAATTTTACATTTATGATCTAATTTATTATTAGCTTTGCATCATCTCACAAGCCCCCAGGGATTTGTGAGAAGCCAGTATTGAGTAATATTAACCAATAGTCAGATTTATTAGTGAATCTGATGTTGATTTTGTGTGTGTTTGTGTTCTCAGCTCACTGGAATGTTGCTTCGGGGTGCGAAGCGTGTTCAGGTGAACGTCTACCTGCATCAGATCCAGGGATTCAGGTGAGGATGAGTCTCTCGGTGACCCCAGTTAGTTTAGCATGGACTGCTGACATTTCTTTCAAAAAAATAGAGAAATCTAGAAATAGTGTCTACACACACCTCTGTTAAAATCACTGATTTTTGAGACATAAAAATAAATCCAAGATAAATCTTGTCAGATCTTTTCCACCTTTAATACGATATTAAAACCAATAAAATTCAAGAAAAAAATATTTTATATTTTATGTTTCTATTAGTGCGGTCAAATGATTAATCGCGATTAACCGCATTCAAAATAAAAGTTTTTGTTTATATAATATATGTGTATACTGTGTATATTTATTATGCATATATAAATACACACATTCATGTATATATATTTAAGAAAAATATGTTATGTTTATATATTAAATATATAAAATATATGAATATAAATATATAAATGTATATGCATGCAAATATTTTCAAAATATATAATGTATGTGTGTGTATTTATATATGCATAATAAATATACACAGTATACAAATGTATTACGTAAACAAAAACTTTTATTTTGGATTAATCGTTTGATAATCGTTTGATCGTTTCTATGTTATATTTTTCCATAAAAGTTTTTTTTATTGTTTGTTACATGAATTGTGTTGGTTTCAATATTGCATTACAGGTGGAAAAATATCTGGCACGGTTTACATTTTTTATTTCTCCAAAACCTGTTATTTTTATAGCCACTATATGCACGTAGTTTGTGGTGTCCTTTGCATAGTTTAATATAGTACAGTTTGAACACGTTTTAGCATTTGTGTTTTTCTGTTGACTTCCCAGAAATGTCATTTCACCTTCTTTAACTGGTTGTTCTCCAGTTAATTAGTTTTGATGCATTTAATTTGATTGACACTCTTTCGCTGTCAAATGCTGAAAGTTTGATGTTATAATGTAAAATTGACCACAGATGGATTATTTTAATCTGTAACTCCAGAACAACTTCTGATTGATTAAGGTGTGTTAGGGTTACATAAGCTCATTACATAAGTCTCTCCTGAACCATGAGCTGAAGTAGGTCATCCAGCTGTAATAATTGACAGCTGCGTGTTGGAGTTATTTTAGGACGTGAAGCGTGAGGATCGGTTTCCGAGTCTGTTTGGGGGTCAAGTGGTCCAATGATGCGACTGAAGACCCGACGCTGCCAAACGTCCCACTTGAGCCGACAGCTTGTTGGCTTGGTTTTGAAATGCGATCTATCTGAGAGCGCAGATAAATCCTGTGAATGAATGGAGTGTGAATGGAAAACATCTCTCCTCGCCTAGAATTATCAGTGTGACACACAGGCCTGAGCTGACTTCCCACAGTCCCATTCATCTGATAGTGTGTGTCTGAGAGGCTTTTTCTTGAAGAGATGTGTGTGTGTGTGTGTGTGC